GAACTCTACATGATCTTTTAAGTGGTCAACACTGTATGCTACAACAAATGGCAACTTACGCAAAACGGTTGCAGTTCCAGCCTCATCACCTCCACTCAGCTCGAATAGGAACCCTATCCTGGGAATCAACTGCGCGTCAAGGTCATAGTTGAGAAGCGCTGGACGGCGAAGAATCAAATCAACACCACCAAAACGGTTCAAGAAAGTGAGCAATCTTTCTACATCTTCAAATGATTTGAGACAAAAAGCCTTGGTTAAGTTGGCATTGTTGAGAACGTGAACAATCTTTTCTTGGGGCATCCCAAGTTGGAGTAACAATCTAACCTTTGCTTCAAATCCTGCAAGAAACCTCGGTTCTGTTGAGTTAAAAAGATGTTCAATTTGTGAAGGTTTGATCTTTCCCGCCAATTCCAGTTCATCATTGAGAAGAAAACAAACGAAGGCATCGATTTCCTGAGCTGTTAAAACATCCGGTCTTTTCACGATCAATCGTGAAAGAGCAAGGCCGCTGACACCAAGGGACTGCAATGAATGAATTCGTGTACGTATGGATTGGAAGGGCCTGAGTTTGACTACAGGGTGGGCGTCCAAAAGGGCTTCAGTATCTCTCTCATTGAACCCAATTTCTTGAAAGAGAGAATATAGCATCACCCCTGAGAAAAATAGAGTATCACCCGCAGTTAAAGAAATGAACATTGCACATGAGGTGTTTGAAAATTGAACTGAGAGAGAGAGAAACTCACCCGAATCAACAAAAGAATTGGTAGAGCTGTCGTTGACGACGAGGGCGTTGCATTTGAGCAGTAAAATCCTGGAATCTTCAGGACCCAAAAAGTGTAAAGGTAGTTTATCTTGTTTCTGTGAAGTGTTAGCGGCAAATGTGAGCTTCTGAGAAGGGAGCAAAGCTGAAGGAAAGAGAGTTCGTATAGGGGGAGATAAAGCCCGAGAGAAGCAGGAAGGAGAAGGTGAAAGTGGGAAAGATTTGGTTGGTGTCGACATGGCAGAGGAAGCAACACTGAAACTGTTGCTTGGCGATAAGGTAGAAGATGAATGTTAGTTCAAGCTATAGCCCACATAGAAAGAGGATTACGCTGTGGCTCCTAAAGTGTCAGTCTCCAACTAGAAACGGGTTAAAAAATACTTTTTTCTTATCATGGGGCGTATATACTGGCGCGCCAAAGTCTGTTAATTTCAAACAATTTTACACGTTTGGGGACATCCAATAAAGTATATATTGACATAAAAAAAAAATTGTCTATAAGATAGTGAGTTATGTAAACGAACTCGAGAAATACTGAGTAATATTTCCTAGAGTATGACCCAAATATTAACTTAATCTACTAAAGTTAAAACAAGGACCAACAAAGAAAAAGAAAAACATATAAGAATATAATTAACTTAATTTATTTTTAGTAAAATCAGAACAAAGAAAAGGAGGATATGATCTCCTATGGTAAATTTTAATTTGAATCGAAAATGACACTATAAAAGCTCCTGTGTTTTATTTACGGCTCTTCTGTGTTTTTTCTTTACCGATCTTTTGTGAAAATTGCCATAAACCAACCTCCCGGGACCAAAGTGTGGTTTTCCACCATTTTATCCCCAAGCTTTTTCGTCGCACGAAATAGGTTATTAATTATTTAATATTTTCTAAAGCAGGGAGAAATTGTAGAACAAGAAACCTGGTACATAGCAAAAAAGGGGAAGCTTCGGCTGGCACTTAACTGGATTCGTCCTAAAACATATTCATCTGGCAGAATTGCAAATATTTAATAGTAGCACTTATCAGCAGCTTCCCATCTCCAGAAAAAAATGATATTTTTTAGAAAATACACTGAAATAATTCGACTTGAGCAACGAAGCAATTTACATGATAGCTAGAATGGTTGCATCCTAATAAGCAGAACAAGGTGTTACATCAAATAAAGAATTGCTATAAAGAATTGTTCAATTTCTCTGCGCACTGGTACTCATATAATTGTTCCTGCTCCATTCTGCACATTATATAGTGGAGTATTTGTTTCTGGAAGTCATGCTACATTACTCCAGATAGCAAGGTACAAATAAATTTACAGTGACACAAGTGTGTTTAGTTGATTATTGAGCCTGGTAATGTCGATGAGATGGCTTCAGACTATTCTTAGCAATGCCTGTTCCATTTTTCTTACTTGTTGGGATGCTCTTAATTAGAACAACTGACGAAGATGCCTTCTTTAATTTTCTGTGAAACCCAGAAAATGCAATTTATCAGACCTCAAAGTTTGGGTCACACACTCAAAAAAGCAAGAAGGAAGATAGAAATTAAAACTTGAGCAATTCTTACAAGTTCCCTTGTTTCTTTTTGGAAGGCTGGCCAACAGAATCAGATGTCCTTCTACAAGTTTCTTCCAATTTATCATTAAACCAAAGCTCCTGCATAAGACAGTACAAGTCAAGACAACTTAAAAAGTGATTGAAATAATATTCTTACGTTAAGAACCAAACCAGCTACCGAAAAGCACTAGGTACCAGGTCCAGCAAGATTGCCTAATATCTACAGTTAATCAACCCTTCTCCACTTAAATGCACAGAAAAGATCTATTGGATTCTGATTCCTTCATGCATGTGAAATTCAAAAAATTAACAAATTAGAATAGACGTTTACTTATATTATTTTATGTAGACACATAAACATGAAATTCTGTCTGTTGTATTTTATGTATGTATATAACTTCCACTATGCAAGTAAACATTGAAAAGATTGGGTTGAAAAGTAGGAGTAATACTAAGCAAATATATCTCGGGAAAAAGTGAAATCACAACTTGAGACCCGCAGTGTTCTTACTAAACTTAACATCTGCATAAATAGAGGAAGGATGTAGGAACTGTGAAATAAGATACCTCCAGCCATTTCAATGAGAATTAAAGAAAGGATCCCACAAATTTCTAGCAGAGCATCTTAGAAACCAGATTCCATCAATTTGACAACAATTTGACAGTGGAGTTTGGTCATCCGGAAAAAAAAACTCCAGAAAAAGATATGGTATTTTGGTAATCAACAATGTTTCGGCGGCATTAAGAAAGAACAACCTAGGTTGTTTCAGATATTTGTGTTTTCCTTTGTTGACTTGTCTTTTCTTATTTGATCTTTCAACATGTGATTTGTAATTAAAGAGATAACTAGATCTTGTCAAATAAACAACAAACTAAAATGACGTGTTGTATTGTATAGTTCTTCAAATATCGATGAAAGTTGTTCACTGTATCAGAATTTGGACTTTCTTATTGATTATATATCCCATCACGTCATAGCTCTAAATAAGTAAGTTCAAGCTCAAACGCATGAATTTACCACGAGGCATCTTCATCTTATGTTTTTCTTTTTATTCATGCTCGTATAGTTTTTGTTCTCTTATTTTTGCATTAATAGAACTTCTCTTAATTTTAATTTTATAAAGATTTTTAAATTCCTTCCTTTTTTGTTTTATTGTCATAAAAAGAGAGATATTAGGTCTCCAGTTTGACTATATTATTATCAATGTTGACAATACGGAAGGTGGCAGTGGTGCATATATGAAAGTTGTTCTTTCATATATAATCTAGATATAGTTAATATCTAAGTTACCAAATTACCGTTAAGTACTACTAGAATATTTAATTTAATGCATCGTGATGAGTCAATCTACTTTCATATAAACTTGTTAAGACATAATCCTGACTCGAAAAATTAATGTAATGTTTTTATGTGCTGTTACAAAATTTCATTCTCAAACCAAAACGATTGTATCAGAGTATAACTTTCATATCAGCTGATAAGGAAATCAACATATTTTATTAATTATTGTATGAATAAATTTGCAACTTGAATCGAATAAGAAAAAGAGCATGCAAAACAATATTACTAAAAAGGAAACAAGGATTTAAATACTCTTGAAATAAAGGGAGCACCTGAGATGATATATTAAACAATCGGCTAAATAAAATGAGGCAGTACCATAAGGTTTCTATACCAAAAAATATTCCGAAGATTCATCCACCAAAAATATGTAACTGGCCCCTAAAATATGCATAATGTTGGCTCTTGATAAAAGAAACTAAGGGAAATAACGGGGAAGATGACAGGAAAATAAAAAGAGTATACTGGAATAGAAGTAAAAGGAACTGAAGCTGAAAATTCTATATTATTTTACTGCATTTGGACTACAATTTATAAGGGAAATACTAACTTAAAAGACCTAAAAATCAGCACAAAATCTGCTGAAAATAACAAACTCCTAGAGACTAGTTCAAAATTATTTCAAATTCAAACTAAATTACAGTAGTAAATAACTCTTAAGCTAAAACAGTAAAATAATTTTACTGAGAGCAGCTTCTAAAGCATATTTCTAACACATAATAACACCCACTATTGATATCTACTTCCCTGTAACTATATATCGGGTTATTTGTTATTAACTTAAAAGTCATGAAATAACCTCAAAATTATGTCAATCTTAGGATTTCAAGTAAATATATTGCACCCATGGGTAGAGTCATTTTCATAAAGTTCATGGAGGAATTTTTAGAATTTATTTAGCATATGATCAGCTGGATTTACTCAATCTCACTTATCCGTACAAATTATTGCATATGCATCAACTACATACTTGGAAAGTTAATAGAAGTAAAAAAACTTATCAAGTTAGTTTCTCTGACATTCAAAGTAATTGTGATGACGGGCTCAAATCTATTTAATTGTATGTTTCAGTGCAAATCTCGTTGTACATGTTCTCTTGTTTGCCAATACAATGTAGTCTGTCACATGAGTACAACTTTCTCCCAAGTATTCTTGAGAGAGTCGCTAAATTATTTGTATTATTTTCGTATATAATCGTAAAAGTTGTATCAACTTTTCAATATCCTCTATAAACCACTGCATTTGGATAGAATGTGAAAAACTCCGAGAGGACTCTGCCAACCTAGTTATGCTCTACAAGTGTTACTAGGAATCGACATCCAATAAATATCTTTGAAAAACTGAAGCTTTCAGTACATTTTCTTTCAAATAATAGTATTCTCAGATGAACCCCAAGACTTCACCAGAACAAAACCATTACACCGAATTTAAGACTCAAATAACTAAGTTGCTCTTGTGTTTCTTTAGGAGCATATGCTATTTCACTTCTCGTCAACAACCAACCCGAAACACAAATAAACTGAGAATTCTAAGCTAATCATGTCTAGTTTTCACAAGCTTTCTACAATGCTCGTATTTTTCTGGATTGGTGCTAGTATGGGGTGTATTTTTGGTGCTTGTACCAAGGAAATCTTCATGAGTTGGTTCCTTGAGATAAGTTATTTTATCAGCACGCTCCTTTGGCTTCTTTAACCCAGGGCAAAACCATTTTTGTTCCAGGAATATACTTAAAGGTTGAGCACTCATATAACTTCTTTTCTAGAATTATGCCCATTTTCTTATTTGCAGCAGAGTAAAAGTAACCTGAACTTTTACTATATTCTATTCCAACGGCCCCGGCTAAATTAGGTCCTTGTTTGTGACCAACGCCTTTTTTGACGGTGCAGCCCCTATGTGCACTTGTTCTTGAAGATCTTCTCTCTGGCTTAAAATTACCTTATTGATGGAGCTTATTCTTCTTCATAGGCTATTTTCTTGATCACATCAGTGTTTTGGATAGCGTGCGGCGACAAATAGCGACGAGGGCCTGCTTCACTGAGGCGAGAGGCGTGCAGCGAAGCGCTCGCTTTTTTTATGTGAAGCGACAGTTTATACGAAAACATAAAATATTATATACATCTAACTAAAAACTCAATAACAATAATATATTAATAAATATATCATTCAAAAACTAAAGACTCATTAGATAGTCATAGACTCACTGAAAAAACAGAGCATCAAAAAAAAAATACAGCCTCTGCTCTGAAAAAACAGAGCTGAAAGAGATGATGGAAGAAACAGAGCAAAGAACCCAAAAACAGAGCAAAGAAAGAAGAAGAAAAACAGAGCTGAAAGAGATGATGGAAGAAAGAAAAACAGAGCTGGGCTGAAAGAGAAGAAAATCAGAGCTGAAAGAAGAAGAAAAACAGCGATCACTGAAGAAAGAAGAAGAAAAAGAAAAAAGAAAACCAGCAATGGTGGTCGAGAGAAAGTAGAAGAAGA